GCGTTTCTCTGAGGCTGTGAAAACACAACTTGCCCAAGTTCACCCAGTAAGTTTCCATGGCTGAGCAAGGATTTGAACCCTGATCTCCCAGACAAAGTCCCAGTCCAACACTCAAACCACTGCACCACATTAGCTCTCTTCCAACACTTGCATGGAATGACAATGTAGCATAATTGAGTGCACATTGAATTCACAACTGAATGTGCATGCTCACCCACATGGACACCAGCATCTGCATATACAATAACACTAAGTGTCCAATTCCACCTCCACAGTCTTGCAATGAATGCATACAATCTGTATCAGACAAACGTGTGTAAGATCTGTAGAGCAAAATGCACATACAAGAAGTATCAGCAGGATTCTGGTTATCACTTACTTATTTATCTGATTTATACCTTAACTAACCAACATTTGATTGATTCAGTGATTTTGAATTGCATCTCTCCTTGCTCTCAGAGTTGACATGAAAGGTAACTTAATTTAAAAGGTTCAGTACAAAAACATATATACATCTGAATTAAATTGACTGTACTATTAAATCACCAAATGAATCAATTTAAAAGTTCCACACCAGTAGCAGCTAGTAGCTCCAACATCAGTGAGATGATTAATCAATACTAAATTTTGATTACCTTTAAAGGAATATGTTTCAACACCATGGATAACTCCTTTAAAACCTGGATTGAAACCTGGATTTATTGCCCCACTGACATGGGAGCTACTAATAACAGATATGTAGTAAAATGTTTAAAAAGTCCAGCATATCCATTTAAAAACCTCTGATTCATAACAGGCAGTCAGCTGAGGAAGGCCTGCCTAAGTGGAAAGGTCTTAGTCTGCAAGCAGAAGGACAGCACAGAAACATAAAGTAATTTAAAATTGCAAATATCTGCTGAAGTGCAATCAAAGCAATATAAACAAGCAGCAGTAAAAGATGCCCCCATTGCACACTTCTGTCTCTCTTAAAGATAGTGGTATCTTTTTTAAACAGTCAAATACTTCAGATGATTTCCTCCCTTGAACAAATCTAAGCACCAGAGCTGAAGCTGGCTGTGGAGTTCAGCTTAAAGGACTGGGTGTGAAGAGGTATAAGAGTTTGGAGAACAAGGGGCTAGAAGGAGGAAAAGGGACAACTCAATCAGTACTTAGACTTTCTTTTTCTTTAAACTGTTGAACTAGGGGACTTTCTTGTTCAACTGATCCTGACATTTTCAAATGGTTCTGCAGTTTGATCTGGTAATACCAGCTCATCAAAAGTAAACCTTTGAATCACAGTCCCAATGTGATTCAAAATGAGAGTGGCCTTTTAAAACAAACTGTCTGTTCTTTTTCTTCCTAGCAGAAGCTAAATTTCATTGGTCCTTTATTGATGATTGCCATGTTCTGACAAAAATTCCGAAAATTCAGCCAGTCCCGAATATTTACAAACACAATGTGTTTTCCACTGGAATTGAATGAGTGTGATGATTATCAAATAGTCATGGTCGACATGAATTCTCTGTCTCTTCCTCTGGCCTTGTTCACAGGGACCAAAAGGCACATTTTCCTGGCAAAGTCCTATTTGGACAAGGCATGGCCGAAACCCTGATTCTGGTGTGAACAGTCCAGATAATGTTTGGCATATTCAGCACAAAAATGTCATTATAATGAATCATTCAGGAAGATCTGGAGCCCTCTGTTTCTATGCTGGAGTCTCTACTTGGCCATGGAAACCTACTGGGTGACTTTGAACAAGTCCCATTCTCTCAGCCTCAGAGAGGCAAACAAAAGCAAACTACCTTTGAACAATCTTGTCAAGAAAACTCCATGATAGGTTCACCTTAGTGTCACCACAAGTTGGAAATGATTTGAAGGCACACGACAACAATAAACTGACCTACCAGCATGTAATGGTGAATTGTTACAATGCACAGCATCCATATTCTCAGGAGGAGAGCAGAGACATAGGTATGTGACATTGGAGCCATTGTACAAGCGAAGCCAGCAGTGTGTCTGTTCCACAATGGGGCCCATTACACAATGGTATTGTTCCCTATTATGAAATGGGCATTACAGTATCATGGGTTCCCAATGTGCAAAAGGACACTGCATGAGATGCCCTGATATGTGTTACCACAATTCACTAGAAGAGTTATGTATCATGTTTCAGCTTAGCTATGTCTTATTAAAGTTATATATCATAGCTTCTGATGAAGGATCTTAGCCATACACATACACTGCAAAAGCAGTGAGGGTTTTTTAAATGTTGTGCATTTTTTAGAATTTGTGTGCCTGCATGTGTGCATGAATGCATGTGCATTTTCATAAAGTGTGCAAAATTTGGAAAACATGACAACTGTTGCTTTGTTACATAGTCAGAAAAAAGTATTAGCACTGGATGGACTGTTCCTGTCTTTTTGACCAATTAGTCTGTGCTTTTCTGCCTTCGATTTTTATACTTAGCTTCACAGCATGAAAAAAAGCCACCAGTCATGCACAGTGATGCACATTTTGTGCATAATGTGGAGGACATGGCAAGAAAACCCCTATTGTGCTGGAGGCAACATCTTGAATGGTCTGTCATGCTTAGATTTTCTGTCTTGAACAAAATCTCAGCAACTATGATTTCCCCCTTCCCCACATTCCTTGTCTGGATTTTTGGCTTGTTCCTTGACCCCGTGTCATAGTCTGACAATACTCTTAATCACAAGTGAAAG